AAAGTGTGCTGAACACAGGTGTTTACAAAGTATGCAGACTGAATTTGTTTGTTCACTCAAACCAGAAAAGCTGCAGTTCCAAACCTTCTCTCTCAATGTATGCAAATTCCACAGTAAAGACCAAACCCTTCTCACAGCACCAGAGCACTTTCCATCCTGCGTTTGCAAAATGACTCCTTGAGGAAAGACTACAATAAATGGAGCTAAAACCCGGCTGAATGAGGGAGAATCTTGCAGAGCATATACTACTTGAGACAATCTTTTCTTTCCCTTGCACTCATGACTTGTTAAAGCTGTAATGAAAACAGTCAGTGCTTACCCTACCCAATAAATGTAATGACTGCATTAATTATATATACATGAATGCAACATTAAAATTGAAGTCGTAGAAGATAAAGGCTAGCTATTATGCTAAGCGTTGCTGGGCTTTGTCCAGTACAGAACAGACTCTTCATTTCCAAGTTACCAACGCTGTGCAGTATTGGACAGCATCACTGTTATGTAATTAGAAAAAAAAGATACTTGTTAGTTCCTCTTGCTGGCAAATTTAAAAGGACAATAAGAATTTGTTGACTCTATAAAGGATGATTCTATAGTGAACTAAAAGAACCAGGCACGATCGATTGCTCTGCAGTGGTTGAGGATCATTGCACTGCACTGATTTACATTTGGCTATAAGCTAATAATGTGTGCATTTGGCACCTTCTTTATGTGCTAGTCATCACTTTGGTCTCCAGGTAGAAAGAGAGACCTTCTGGACAAACGACACAATGAGTCATTAAACCCTTTTAGCCATCAGGCCGTTGTTATTTATGTCATGTCTTTAATCACATTTTCCACATGACTGGTCTTTCGATGTCAGCCAGACATTTATTGGGCCCCTGAGCTGATGCAGCACGTCCACCTGATCTCCCAGCTTATTTTATCAGCTCAGAAACTGCTATTGACATCAGAATAGAATTTATTTACATACACTGAATTAACAGCTCCTGTTTGTTAATATTTTCAAACAACAACAGATAAGAGGCAATCAAATAACCAGCTTGAGTACAAACCATTGCACACAATAATAGCAACATTGTGAAGTGCCTCACACATCTTTCAAAATGTGAAATGCAAGTATATTAGCTACTAAATAAACGTTAATGTAATTGAAATACCAGCCAGACATACTCCATTCTCCTGTCCACTCCACACCAGTTGAATCTTGCAGCACACTGATATGACACTTAATTTGAGGACTTTTAATCAAACTAAATATTTCTCAGGTAGCATTCATTCCTTTTTTCATTTGGCTTACATTTCAGCATGGCAAGGGATCCCCTTCTTTTCTGCTCCTCCCCCATTTTCTTAAAAGAAAAATAATACATTGAAAATGAATTTATCATCCCTAGAACCAAGGAACTAACAATATCAGCTTGAGCCAAATATAGAATAGTTCCAGCTTTCTCAGGCAGCTGATATAGGACTCAGTCTCAATATAGACCTGAAACAAACTCACTGGTCCAGCCCAGGGCCTTTTTTGAGTAGTGAACCTTCCTCCCCACCTTCACAGCATTCACAAAAGGAGACTAGATAAGAACAAACTTATTTTCACTTTCCCCCCCAAGAGGACTGAAATGCAGAGGAAAAGAAGTGTACAATAGTTGTCCTCTATCTATTTCCATAGCAGTGCCAAATGCTTAACAAAACACTTCAAAGTTAACTAAGTTTGTATCAGGACTAAACTTTTGTTTAAATTGTGGAATAAGTAAATTGTGAACCACAGAGAACACCATTTTCCTAACAGGTAAAAAGCAACAGACGTTGGGACATGAAACTAATTTCTGGCTTAAAATTCTGAAACTTCATGGTGTGTGTGAGTGTGCATCACACAAATGATTCATCTAAAGCACTTCAGCACGCTTCTGGATGAAGCTGAAGGGGGGAGGGGAGGAGAGAGAAGGGGTCCAAAAAACAGGCAGAGGAGGAAGTTCAAGTATTCCCTTCCATCCCTATTCTGGTCAAAATTTCTGTGTGACAAGTTTTCAGGCCAGCACTTGTTCCTAGTGAAACAAAGTTTATTGACCTTTTATTTCTGTTATTAAGTTTGAGGATCCTGAAAATCTAAAATGAGGATCCCCGTCTCCTATTCTCCTCCACCACCACAACTGGAGAAGACCTAGTGCCACAGTAGACGTTAGTTGGCTCCAACACCATCCTCTATCCTGAGTGTAAGGGCAAAATACCTTTAACCATCCAAAAAGTGAAGTGATCACCTTGAAAATGCACTGTCTGAGATGCTTTAGGAAATGCCATTTGGACTTAAGAGCAAGAAACCATCAGCGTTGTTCGTTTACTGGACAGAATAGCAATGGATGTGTCATTACTAACGGCATGAAAAGCTCCATTATATGTCTACCATTGTAAAGCCATTTTGTACAGATTTAAAATAATAAAAAAACTGAAGGATACTTCTCCATATAAAACCCTCTGCTTTTTATTCAAGTTCATTGATGGAGTTAATTTATTCAGTAGAACATCATATATTTTATTTGGATATAAAGAGGGAGATTTAACAGTATTCTGAGTGCATCAGTTTCTTTCATATGACAACTCTGGGTACGTCTACACTGCAATTAAAAACCCACAGTTGGCCTGTGTCAGCGGGCTCGGGCTAAGGGGCTATTTAATTGCAGAGTAGATGTTCCGGCTTGGGCCTGAGCACTGGGACCCTCCCACGGGCCTGGGCCAGCTGCAGGTTTTTAATTTTATCACTTTGCAGTCCTTCATTTGGCCCCAAAGAGACTCAACGCATTTTTTTTTGTATTAGTCAGCAGGATCTACAAAACTGGCAGGAGGCAGAAAAAGTAAAATTGCTGATTTTCTTTCCTGAGGACAGGGCACAGCAATACATATTAGTATATTATACCGTGTATCTTAAACGGAGGTCTCATACTTTAGGGCAAATGGTCTACTGCTACCATGGTTTTGGAGACAGTCTTTTAAAGATATGTCAGAATATACAAGAAAGCATAAAGCACATCTTAGCAGCCAAAAACAAAAAATTATGAGTGGGAAGGGGAGTTGAATAAATGCAATAGTGTGAAAAACTGCCTCAGGATCACTGAAGTGAAGCAAGTGCTAGATAACTGCTGATCCCAGTTGAGAAACCAACAGAAGTGATTTAAGGATCACAACAGAACCTACAAATCCATTCCATGGCTATACATTTCTCTTTTCTTTCTCCATTTTTAAAAATATGATACACACCACCATCTGCTGGACAAAGTGAGAAATAATTCAATACAATGCAGGCTCTTTTGACTTGAATGCCATTTTACTATAATATTTACCTGAGGCAGATGCAAAACAGCCTGGGATGTGCGGAGACCATATAGTGCTGTAAATGATGCCTTCGTGGCCTTTAAAAGTGCATAATGACCGCCCCACAGTTGGGTCCCACTAAATAAAATGAAAAACAAAAGTCTGCAGGTGGAGAATAGCAATACTTAAATCAATTATTTATTTTGGGCTAAACACAACTTTCCAAGGTGGCTATTAAAATGTACACTTTTATTCTACTGGGGTTTCTGTACAATAAAAAGAAGAGGTTTTCACATATGCATTCACAGAGAAACTAAAAAATTTTATGCAAAGAGACCAGAATCTCTCAATATTTTTATATTATAGATAGATATAAATATAATATTTTTACTGTGTCCATCAAACAGTATCTGGGCACCCAACAAAACTGAAAATATTTCAATTATCCTTTGAAATGTGTCTGGTCTTTCTGCTATTTAGATATTTTGGGGCTAACGGGCATGCATGCTTCTATATTATTAGAAACAAAAGTTAAAAACGTATCTGTCTAAAGGCCCCATCTTACAAATAGTTTAGCCCAAAATCTCCCAGGGATTTCTTTGGGAATTCTATGTCATGGTGGACTGCAGGATCTTCCCTTTAACACACATCATTGAAAGAACTCATGTGTTTTGAAAGTGTACAGATATGAAGGGCAATGCAGCAAGCCAAATTTAAAAAAAAAATGACAGCATCAGTTTAAGTAAAGAGGAAAGCAGAAGGGACAGAAAACTGCATAAGAGAGGACACCGTTTCCCCACACAAATTAAGAACTACAAGTTCCAAAACAAATCACAGTGCTGACCTTCTATAAAAATCAGACATACCAGTTTGGCAGTTTGATCCCATGAACCAGACACCACTACCTGTTCTCCTCTAGTTTGGCTCCAGTCAACACTGTAAACCTATAAATATTACAACAGCTTAGTTTAGAACAGCATAAACATCCAATTTTGATACTCTGCCTAGCCAGAGTTTCATAAAGCATACCTGGATTTTTAGTCTGTATCACAATCAGCTGGAAATGTGCACATCTGGAACTAAAGAGCAGTCATGAAGCCACTTAACTGTGCAAAAAATTAAATTTAACATTTCAAACAGTTTTTTCTTTATGAGTTCTGCTTTTTGTTGTACATAGATACCCAGCAACAATTCCTCTTAAAACTAGGACTAATGAGGAAAGAAGTTTGAGTTGTGTTATTTATTTGTTGTGGAAAGATTCATTAGTCACTTCTTAGCGTATCTCTACACTGCAATTAAAAACCCACACCTGGCCCAGGCCAGCTGACTCAGGCTCACGGGGCTCGGGCTAAGGGGCTATTTAATTGTGGAAGAGATGTTCCAGCTTGGACTCCAGCCTGGTCTCTGGGATCCTCCCACCTCACAGGGTCCCAGTGCCCGAGCTGGAGCCCAAACAAGAACGTGTACCCCACAATTAAAAGCCCCTTAGCCCAAGCCCCAGTCAGTTGGCACAGGCCAGCAATGGGTTTTTAATTGCAGTGTAGACGTACCCTTCAAGAATTCAAAAATCTCTCATTTTTTATATACACAAAGTGAAACAGAACCTTATAGTTGGCCTGTTTGGAAACATCTTGGTATGTTTAATAGAGAAATTTAAAAGCTGAAATCATTACATAGAATTTGATACCTCTGAAACTCTTCTCTCTCATGCTATATATAAAAAACTACATTAGAAGAAAGTTCAAGTTGCAAAGTCAAGCACCCAAAAAACTAGGAAATGCTGCAATTAAGGTTGAACACACAACCTTAATTTGCCTGCCTTGTGCACATGCCTTATAACAGTCTCCTTGCTCTGGCAGTCCCAGTCTTTCCCATCCCTCTGTTCAAGAAAGTCCTGCTCAGCCCCTTGTTCCTGCGCTAAGTACAACCCACCTGAAATCAGTGGGTTTGTACTCAGCACAGCTAAGCCATGCCACTGCTGCCCATGGTACTGCAGACACAACTACTATTTATACTCACGCTAGCTCAATGACAGCTAGAACGAGTATGTGTATGCAAGCTGGGAATCACACCCTTAGCTCGTAGTGTAGACGTCGGCCAAGAGAGCCAATCACCATAAATTGGGTTTGCAGTGTATTCTAAAAACGGTCTAATCTCTTCTGGTATCTTATTCCACAGTTGAGATCCTTAGATCGAAAATACTTTACCTCCAATCTTTCATGATAGGTTTTGTTAGTTCTATTGTCCCAGAAAAGCATAGCTGTCCTGGTAGGTAATGGATACAGAAGTAAATACAGATATACTGGATAGCTGGATCTCAACCCATTAATGGTTCTGAAGATAAGGAGTAAGGCCTTGAATAGACATTGAAAATGAACCATGAGCCAGTGCAGAGCACATTAGTTTTGTCTACACTGAGGACATTTACTGGTACATTCAAACTATTTTTAATTTTGGGGACTGTTAATAACGCCAGTGGTGATGTTCTTATGGTAGCTTGGCCTGCTGAGATCACTGATCTCTACACAAACTGGAGAGTCTACATTGCTTCCATCTTCAGTTTCTCTTAAGCCTTGTCTACACTAGACACATTTACGATAGTACATTTACTGTGGTACCAAGCAGTTTGTTCCCTCCATCCATTGTAATACACCTCACATCCGCACACAAAAGCGCCCAGAACAGTTCATGAGTATACCATATGCTGTTCGGAGCAGACTATGCTACAGCAGGACCAAAAACCATTGCACTCTGAATCATTTCAGCAACAGTGTGGATAGCTGAAACTGTTCAACTAGTTCTGGCTATTGTCCAACAGTCCACCAGTCACAAATGGTAGCATCTACCCACCAGTTTGTGGAACTACTTTTGAGAGTTCTGACACCAACTAAGGGATAGGTACCAAAAAGCACTGAAAGTAAATCAGTTTAGTCCTAATGGGAAGGTGGAACAAACCTACAAGTATTCTTAATATGATTCGGTGTTAGGGTAGTTGCACAAGAAGTCTGTGCTTAAATTGGTGCAACACAATTGATTCAATTCTCTAGTGTGTATGAGATTTTATAGTGAATTCTGATAATCCAGTTCTAGTGTTGCCAAATATTTATATAGCTGTTGCTGGACCTCATCTGAGAAAAAGGGAATGAAAGTTCCTAGCTATCTATGAAGTGGAAAGAAAGCAATTTTTTGCCATGGTCACTATAAGGGTTAACGATTGATCCATTGGGACCTAAGCTTTCACACCACTTTGATGAACAAGGAACAGATGCTTTTGATGGGAGGAGAGATCAGCATTCCAGTGAGTTAAAAGCATTTCCCCCTTCCAATCAGTATCATTTCAACCTATCCTGGTTTCAGTTTGAGCAGCTGTTCTTCATTCAGGTGTTGATTTCTTGTAAATAGATTAGCAAAGGTGTTTATTGCTTATGTATAAAAGGGATACAAAGATGATACCCAGATATGTGTGTTACTGCCAGTGGTAACTCCTGTTGCAGCAACACCTTCATGCTTTTATGTGTACCAGACAATGGTACACATACCAAATCCTACTAAAACCAAAGATACACTAGATGCCTCACAAAACACAATGTTCCTGCCCTGAAGATCTTACAATCTAACTAACAAGACAGTTAAACAGTAAATCAATAGAGGATATATGAACAAAGTGTTAAGACACAAAACTTAGTAAACAAAACAAAAAATACCTACCAGTTTCTCTAAACTGTTCCTGTATCCCCCTATGTTTTGTATGTGTCCAAGCCAACCTGCCCCACAGTGGCTGACCTGAAGAGCCCTCCTTTCAAACACACACACCCAGAGAAAAATCCCCCTTCTCAAAAGGAAATGAGTATGTACCCACTCACAATTTAAAAAAAGGAAATGCTATAAAGTTCTCCAAGCTGGTTCTCAAGAGCTTGTCTACACTGTGTGGTCATGTGCAAAAGAGGCATGTGATTTCCAAAAGCACATCTATGTGTTGCACCCTAACTGGCTCACGTGCATCCAACAAAAAGTTCCCTAGTCCACATTAACATAGTGCAGGAAACACTACATTAACACACACAGAGAAATTTTTGTTCACACCAGCAGGATCTACAGGGGCCAACACACTGGAGCTCTTTAGAAATCATACTCCTCTAGTGCATGTCATACCACGCAGACATGCCCTAAGCGTCTGCAAAAGGGAGATGTGCTACTTCCAGCCACGGCAGCTGCCTATCTGTCTGCCTGCCTCCTGGAGGTTGTGACTCTGCCCTGGATAGATTGGGGAGCTCCTGTCCTATGTGGTGCCCCCCAAGAGGCCATTGTAGCCACGTGGGGGATCTAAGTAGTGGGTAAAGCAGGGATGGGGGAAGCGACCACCAAGCCTAGATCAGTTCTATATCCAAACTCTCTGCCCCCCCCTCCCCCCCCCACACACACATAGTTACAGCTGCCTCAGAAGTTACTGGATTGAGCAATGGAAGAAGGACTAAGAATGCAGCAGAAACCCTAACTTTCAGAATTTCCAGATAACAGTTTTCAATCTTAATTCTCATCTGTGTATGTCCAGTAATAGTTGATACATATCAGCTAAGGAGAAGAGGAAAGTAAAACCTTAACCAAATAGGCATTCCAATGAGATTTCAACCCCGTTGGAGTAAATCAGTGAATTAATTTAGTTCTGGTTATTCATGAGGTGCAGTAATTGGCTGAAAGGAGAATAACACTGATAATAAAGATGTGCATTTATATTAAAATTGTTTACACTTCTTGAAGTGGGAGGACTGAATCTTATTTGGAAGATGAAGTTGATTCCTGCCAATCTTACCATTAAGACATTATAAAACTCAATAGCAGCATTCATTAAAAGTATCAGAAATGGATTAAGAAGGCAGTCAGTCATCTTTAAAAGCATTGTCTATCCATGTTTACCAGAAAATATTAATTATATTCCTATTAAGATCTGGTCTCTCTTAGTGCACCACTTATAAGAACTGATCCAATTTTTCCATATCTCAGAGTAAACAGTCAGCCCATGTGTCCTGCACTGTCTTTCTAACCCATGGTTGACTGTCCCTGACTCCCTGCTCTCCCTGTTAATCCAAGAAGTTGCTTGAAAAACTCTTGTTTCAAAAACAAATGGTGCAGCAGAATTAATAATAATCCTAGGGGTAGAATTACAATTATAAAATGGCATGGAGAAGAGGAGGAGAATGAGAGGCAAGATTTTAGGGGCAGTGATCACATCTTCCCTACATTTTTATACAACCACCAACAGAATAGAGCCCTGCTCCAGTTTGGAAACCATGGACACTATCATAAATATAAAATAACTAAAATCATAACTGAACTGTCTAATAAAAAATTCATGCATCCAAATTCTTTATCTGCAGAGTGTTTTTATTTTAATAAACTAAAGCAGCAATAAAATTCAAAGCAGCAAGGTTACACTGGAACACCCACAAGTCTCAGGTGGTTTCAGATTTCAGCTTTGTGCCTCATTAGGCCCCTCCTGAGGCTTGTCATAATTGGATCCCATATCTAGTTGTGTGTTGTTGCTCTCACATCCACCAGCTCACCAAGTGAGGATAATGCTTTTTACCTAGCTAATCTGACAGTAATTCAGACAATAGAGAAGGATCGAGCTGATGGTAACAAAAGCAATGTCCAGGGGGAGTGGCTAGGGAAGCATAAAGAGGATTCATGGGGTGGTTGGTATAAGTGAGAAGTCATTGGAAAATAAGCAACTGTGTAATATAAAAACAACAGATAAATGTAACGTGCCCTTTTAGAAAAGTTATAAGCATACTAAAGACTGTGGAGTGCGTTAAGTTCTAAAAAAATATAATTAAATTAAAAAGGAAATGAGACAGACCTCAAATGGAATTCAATGCAAGGCAGTATTGCTAACAGCAGCTAATCAATTAAATTACAGATCCAAAGAAAAAACTTAACAGTAATATA